GCGACACAACGTCCCTGCACAAGGTTAAAGAACTAGGTGATGGGTTGGTACTGTTTGAAATGCCAATCCGAAGCTGTGATTTTTACTGCCGGAATGGCACATGCACATAAACAGAAACCCGGTCCGCGATTTCAAATTGAGGGTTTTTGCGAATTCTTACTCATTAAGTCATCCCATCTGTGTCGAGAGTGAGGACCCGCCCCCTCCACTGAACGAAACCTGCTCCACGTGCTGCTGTATCACGCGCGTCTGGGTCATGATCTTTGGCACTTGGATGACTTGCTCCTGACCCTGGCAGGGTCCATTCTGACTGAGTTTTAGGGTTCTGGGGGGTTGGGGTTTAGTGAGTTTAGTGTTCAGGATGTGCCCGGCCACGTCTGAGAGCCAGCCAAGCCGAAAGTAACAAGCTCAAAGTTTAGGCTTTTAGGTGCGGCGTGGGACATGTTCTTGCCAGATCCGAAGCTGGTTGGTTTGGTGTTTCAGGCTTTCAAAAGTTAGAGGGTCTCAGGATTTAGGAGCTTGAAGCTCGCAACCCCCTGCTCCTCCCCCAGAGTTTGAGGGCTGGGCTGGCATGGGCTGCGGTGCCCCGTATGGTGCGCCCTGCTGCCCCGGGACCTGGCGTCTTGACATTGGGGCTTTTGGGTTCGGGGCTTTTAAGGGCTTCTTGGCTTCAAAATCCCTAAACCCTAAACCCTAAACCCTAAACCTAAAACCCTAGATTAAACTTTGCGCGCGGCCATAGTCTGCGGTGCCCCGTAAGGTGCGCCCTGCGGCTGCCCTGGAGCCTGGCGGCTTTGGGGCTTCAGGGGTAACCCTAAACCCTAACCACATGGCGGGACGCATGTTTGTGTGCCTTGCACTTGCCGTGTAACTGCAGTAAAGCATGTAGGGCTCTTGAGCTGCAGGCATGAAGAGCAAAATGGCACGTAACAGTCAGGGTTTAGGGTTTAGGGTTTAGGGTTCAGGGTTCAGGGTTCAGGGTTTAGGGCCAAGTCCGCCGACCCTGGCGGCGTGTTGGATGGGAAAAGGAGGTGAAAACCTCCCTCCTTACCCCCCCAAAACGCGGGGGGGGGGGGGGGGGGGGGGGAGGGGGGGGGGGGGGGGGGGGGGGGGGGGGGGGGGGGGGGGGTGGGGGGTGGGGGGGGTGTTTGGGGGGGGGGGGGGGTGGGGGGCCCCCCCCCCCCCCCCCACCCCCCCCCCACCCCCCACCCCCCCCCTCCCCCCACCCCACCCCCCCCCGCCCCACCCCCCCCCCCCCCGCACCCCCCCGCACCCCCCAACACCCACCCCCCCCCCCCCCCCCCCGCCACCCCCACCCCCCCCGCCCCACCCCCCCCCACCGCCTGTCTTTTTGGCTTGCGCTTGTCCTGACCCCCCCAACGTTTCACTTTGAGCGCTTCAGGTGTTTAGCAACTTCTACACCCTAAAACCCTAAACCCTAAACCCTAAACAAAGTGAAGGTTAAGGGCCCGGCCATCATGGTCTGCGGGGCCCCGTAGGGTGCGCCCTGCGGCTGGTTTGGGTCCTGGCAGCTATAAGGCTTCGGGGGCTCTTGAAGATGGGAGGGATGAGGGTCGAACTGCTTCAAACCCTAAACCCTAAACCCTAAACCCTCAACGCTAAACCCTAAACCCTAGCTCAAAGTTTAGGCCCCGGCCATCATGGTCTGCGGTGCGCCGTAGGGTGCTCCCTGCGGCTGCCCTGGGGCCTGGCGGCTTTGGGGCTTTGGGCCTTCTGGGTTTAGGGTTTAGGGTTTAGGGTTTAGGGTTTAGGGTTTAGGGCTTGAGGGTTATAGAGTTTAGCTGCTTCAAACCCTACGACTGAGGGCCCGGCCAGCATATTCTGCGGGGCGCCGTAGGGTGCGCCCTGCGGCTGCCCTGGGGCCTGGCGGCGTTTGGGGTTTGCACCCGAAGAGACATCACTCTGCACAAAGGCACCTCTGAACATCTCATGCTCTTATTGGTGAATTTCACATGACGAAAGGCTCAAACAGAAGGAGATTGAAACACGGGCAAATCCCGATGTGATTCAAACCCACGTGGGCCGAGGACACACTCAAATGTCGTCTTAGTGGCCTATCCCGCAGGCTGAACCCTCATCCCCGTTGCGACACTCTTGATGCGCAGCTTGGCTGCGAGCTAAGTGCCCACGTAATATAGGGGGCTTAAGAATTAGGCTAGGGTTTTGGGGTATATTATTGTATAATAGTAAAGGGACCATAAGGGAAGAATATTAGTAGCTATTCCGACCCAAATAGTAGGAGCTTTTCAAGCCCCAAAGTTTAAGGACCCGGCCGCCATTGTCTGCGGTGCGCCATAAGGCGCGCCCTGTGGCTGCCCTGGCGCCTGTGGGGCTGCAGGGTCAATTGGAGCGTTTCCCTTTTGAGGGCTCATACTTGCTTGTAACTGGTTATAAGCATGTTTGGGGTACTTATAACTCCACTTGTAACTACCAATGAACCTCCAAGTAGGGTGTCAATTTTAAGGGCCCGGCCGCCATGGTCTGCGGGGCTCCGTAGGGTGCGCCCTGCCACGCGTGCGCTTGTTTTGAGGCGGGCTTGGGATTAGCATGTTCCTGCGAGAATATCAAACAGTCTTCAACAGGACTGTGCTAACTTGTAGTGGGACAGCCAAGCACATATTGTCAAGCCAGTTGGTCTATTATTGTGGCTACTATCACGATTGAGGTGGACAGCCTACATTTCGGAGCTCCAAGCCTAGAACGACAGGCCCTCAACTCGCATCTCAGCAGGGCAGACAAGGATCTACTACTTCCCCCAATCCCAAGCCCGACGAACTTGACACCCCCTCTCCTGGGAAGCATTCAGGAAGTTTAGGAGGCTTCTGGAGGGCCTATAGCCTTGGGAGGGTTCTGGGTAGTTAACTGCCGAGGCGGCGCGCGCATGCGTTGCAAATTCATTCGGTCATTCTTGCTGTTTGGACAATCGACTATTTGCTTAAGAACCCCAAAAGAATTAAAAATAAGAATCCCTTTATTACCCTTAATTGTTTTTTGGGGGGGTTCTTAAGCAATTACTGGCAATTCTCTCTTTTGTTTTCCAAGTTGTCTGCAAGCAACCACAGCAATGCCACAGGTTTGAGTGACGGCCTGGGGCATGGGGACAACCTGCTCTTGCGCCACTGGGACCGGCACCTGGACAGAGAATGGGCTGACATGGAAAGTCTGTCAAAGGGGCCCCTTTATCATGCGCGCAAAAACGTCCAAACAATGCTGTCATGACTGAAGCAGAAATTAGACTTTTTGTCAGGCCTCGCCTCAACGATCTGCTCCACTGGCTGGTGCACGATGCGGGTCTGTGTGATGATTTCAGGCACGTGAATAACCTCCTCCTGGGTCATGGGGATCGGGACCTCCACGACCTGCTCCACGTGCTGCTGCATGACCCGGGTCTGCGTCATGATCTTGGGGACGTGCACGACCTCCTCCTGGGTCATGGGCACAGGAACCTCCACGACCTGCTCAACGTGCTGGTGCATCTGGCGCTTCTGGGTCATCACCTGCCCAGTTGTTTGCGCTTCAAGGGCTTGGGGTGTAGAAATCCAACGAAACACATGCTGCAGAATGGCCCAAGAGGCTCCGGAAATTCCAACTAGCCCCACGAACCACCCCCACACCCCACTACGCCCCAAACATCCCTAAAATTCCAAACCCTGAACCCTGAGCGCAAAGTCCAAAACAGCCGTAAACCCCTGAGACCCCCAAGGATAGAACCCAGGCCTTGGGAACATGCACCTGCTGCTCCTGCATCATGGGCACCTGAGCTGCAGAGTGACCTACTAAGAAGGAAGAGAGAGAGAGAGAGAGAGAGAGAGAGAGAGAGAAAGAGTATATGCACCTCTGTCGGTAGGCTGCAAAAAGCTTAAGATATTCCAGGGGACCTCCCCATAAACCCAATTTAACAAAAAAACAGAGAAGGATGGCTTTGCGGGTCCTAGGCGCTGGAACTTCCACCGTCTGCTCCACGGGCACCTGGTAGTGGCCTCATTCAGGTGTTTTTGTTGGATTCGGGGGGTTTCGGGATAATGTTGACTTCACATTAGGAATTCCCGCCGCAATTATAAAATTCAGCTGCCAGAACACAATAATGTAGCCCGCCACAATTATAAAATCCAGCCCGGAATATTCTTCTAAAAGTGATCCCCCAGAAGCTCGCAGTAGAGGCTCACTTAGCCCACTGTGGTGGCACCGGGACAGCTAGACCTACCAGGATTTAGGCGGATATTATTGAGGAGGCCCTGGCCGGAGAGAGATTGATCAATGAAGGGGGGGGGGGGGGGTTTATTAATGCGAAGTCAACATTACAGACCTCAGGATGCTTCAGGATGCTTTCAGGGGAGGTTTCCGGGGATGTGAGATGCTTCAGGGCTTTAGGCCGCGGAGGCCTTCGAAACCGAAGCCTGGCGGTCCGCGGCGCTTGCAGAGCGCCGGTGGTGTTGGTGCGATGTTTGCTTCTTGGGTGCGCGGGTTCGATCCGTGTTGCAGCTCTGGCAGTTTGCATTGTTGGCGCACCCACTAGTCGGTTTGGTGCCTCAACAAGCGCACGAGCCACAAAACCTGGGCGCCCAAAACGGGTGGGGTCTACCCGAAACCCTGTCTCTCAGGCGCTGGCGAGCTTGCGTCTGCGTCACCGGCACGTGGACAACCTCCTCCACGATCTGCGGCACAGGGACATCGACCTGGGATCGCAAGTAGACCAAGAGCTTGAACCCTCTTCGGAGAGGGCCTGAAGCCCGTCACATGGCTTGCGTTGTTGCTGAGGCCAGGGAGGTTTTTGGCAGGGCTTGGCCTGCTTAGTACTTGCTACTCGAATTTTAGGAAGACGGCCGGCAAGCGAGGGTTAGTGCTACATCCCCATATTCTCGGTACCAAAAGTCCAGGTTTTTCGGGTTGGGGCTCCGCTGGTTCACACTGGGCCCCTCATACGTAGAGTGAAACTTGCCGAGCCCCCGCTAGTGGGAGGACTGCCTCGTTGCTTAGCATGTTCACACCATCTTAAAACCTATCAGCTCTACGTACATTTTTTAAGCCCTACCTGAACTTCACTTCTGCATCACATACCCCCTGAAACCCCATAAGCCCTCACGCTGAAGTACCCTGATCACTATCCGAAGAATCCATGGCAGTCTGGCGACCAACTGCTCAACGTGGCGATGGGAGACCTTCGGCTGCTGGATGACCTGCGGCACCTGGCCCCGCGCTGGGGTTCACAGGGTTTAGGGTTTAGGGTTTGGGGTTTAGGGTTTAGGGTTGAGGGTTCAGGGTTTAGGGGTTTGGGATTTAGGGTTTAGGATATCCTTGTCGGAAGCCCTGGCGGAGGCGGCGTCGTGCGCATCTGCTTCTGGGCACACATTTGGACATACCCACAGCGACCCAAACTCTTCTCGTTGGCAGGCGCAGCACTTTTGCCGTCTCGGAGCCTTCGTTTTTGTACTCTGCGGCAATTGGGGAACCCTAAACCCTAAACCCGAAACCCTAAACCCTAAAGACCTTGGATCGTGCTCCCTGGAGCGCGGCTTGCGGCGTGCCGCTGTCACGGGTGGGGCGCCCTCTTGTTCCATCGGCTTTCTGATTCATACGACAGATTTGGGGTTTAGGGTTTAGGGTTTAGGGTTTAGGGTTTAGGGTTTAGGGTTTAGGGTTGGGGGTTTCCGAAATTAAGGGTACCTTACTGGGGGTCCTTGTTCCCAGGGAATTCTTCTATGTGGGGTTAATCTTAGTGGTCCCTCATTTTCGTAAACCCACATTTCTCCAGAAAACCCTGAGGCTTTTAGGGTCCTCTGCAGGCTCAACTCTGAAACCTAGTTTCCAAAATCCAAAGCCCCACGTGCTGGCAACAGCCGACAGCATCCCAAACCCTGAGCCCGTACATCCTAAGCAACAAAGGCACGAAAACAACCCTAAACCCTAAACCCTAAACCCTAAACCCTAAACCCTGAACCCCAACTTTGGGGATGCTGCCTGAACGACCTGCTCCACGATCTGCTCCACGGGCTGCTGCACAATCTGAGGGACCTACCAGGTTCCGATTGCAGGGGGGTTTTGGGGTTTTGGGGGGGGTTTAGGGTCTAGAGTTTAGGGTGTAGGGTTTAGGGTTTGAGGGTTTAGGGTTTTGGGTTTAGGGTTTAGGGTTGAAAGGTTTAAGGGTTTAGGGTTTAAGGGTTAAGAGTTTAGGGCTTAGGCAGCTTGGGGGTTCGGGTTTAGGGTTTAAGGGTTAAGGGTTTAGGGCTTAGGCAGCTTGGGGGTTAGGGTTTAGGGTCCAAGGGTTAGGGGTTAAGAATTCAGGGGGGTTTGGGGGGGTTTCAGTGAGAACTACCCATGAACCTCCAAGTTAGGAGCTTCAAGTTTAGGGTTCCAATGCCAGGTTGGATGCTTTGAGGGTCATGGGACGCAGGGGATTGACGACTTAGGGTCAAGTCCAATGTGAGATCCAAACAAATTGAGGTAGTGGCCTGTCTTTGCTTTTGACTTTTTACGTTTGACTTTGTTCATCCGATTTTCGTTTGCAGGACGTGATAAGACACATTGTTGTTGACTCCAAAAAAGGGTTTAGGGCCAGAGGGTTTGGGGCAGCTTCGGGTTGAGGGTTTAGGTTCGCATGGGGCGCAGGGCCCCAGACCCCCACGCCAATGGTTCGTTAAAACACTTGAATCTATGGCATGGGCTGAAGGCCCCAAACCCAATGCCCAAATGAAGGCCTCTGGGCTTAGAGTTTAGGTTGCGGGTTTTGGGATTAGCAAGTTTAGGTTGAGGGTTTAGAATATGGGCGGGGCTGAGGGCCCGTCGTAATTCTAGAAATCCAGACTGGAAAACACGTGGCCTCGACCACCTTCTGCACAACCTGCACCTGAGTTCAACAGCTCAACAGACCGAGCACAGGCCGCCACAGCGAGAAAACGTTCGCTGGTTGGAGCGGTTGTGCAGGGGCGGGTCGCCGATATACAATACATGTTCTATGAAATGTCATGTGTAATGATGGAATAATCTCTGGGGCAAGGTGACGCCTAAATTCCAGAACCGGTGCCTCGAGGTGGGCATCGTTCTTATGTTATGGTCTCTTTGGGGCTTCGGGCTGCGGACACAACTTAAGAACAACTCCCATGTGCCAACCCCTGCAACCGAATTGACAGAACAAAACCGACGGAAGCCCGAAAACCCTACGCCTCCTGAACATGCACCGGCCTCGGGGATCTCCTGTTCCTCCACAACCTCCTGGACTTGCGGAATCTCCACGATCTGCCGCGGGGCACGGAGCACGCGCTATCATGAGCTGTCAGGGATCTGAGGGTTTCAGGGGCGGGGATTAGGGGTTTGGGCTTGAGGGGCGTAGGGGCTGTTTTTGGGTGGGGCGCTTGTCAGATGTAAGGCTTAGCGGTAAGGATGCCTCGCTCAGAGAAAGGACAGCATCTTTTCCTTTCACATCACCGATCAGCATCGTCACACCGATCGGCCCGCTCTGGCTGACTGATTGCTCTCAACCTGTGTAGGTTTCGTGATGAGCAGACTCTCTTGGCAAAGTCTACGTAGCACGGCACGAACCGTTCCACCAGGCAGCCACTGAGGCAGCTCTTCATGACAACCATCAACAGGTAAGCCCAAACAATACTGACGAGTACTATGTGCCCACACGATCAGGCGCCAGAGCCTGAACTTATCTAGAACCTACCGCCCTGGCATCTGCACATCGTGCACAGGAGTCCTTGAATGTTCCTGTGGTCTGTCCTTGAGGGTTCAGGGCTGAGGTTTTGGGATCTCACCGGAAGCCCTTGCTAAAGCAATCCCCCTTGAAAGCGCGTGTCACAAGTAGGAGTCGGCCTGCTGCTTCCTCTGTCCAGCCACGGTCTGCTCCACTCGCTGGGTGCCGACCTATTGCAGGGACGCTCCGCTATGGGCTTTCCGGTTTCAAGATTCGGGGGTCGGTTCGGGGACGGGGGAAGGTTTAGGCTGGCTCAGGGGGTCCCGATGTTCTGTGGACATGGAGCGATGCAAGGTCGAAAGGGCGCGCAGGACGGAGGCTGGAAAGTTGGCATGCAATCTCGAGCACAGAAGGCGCAGGAGACCTCAGAGAGAGCGCAGCGTGATTTGGCATCTGCCGCGAGGCGAAAGCAATGCTGCGGAGTTCCCTGGGCCTAAAGCCCTCCGAACCCACAGCCTACACTCCCAAGGCCCCCCCCCCCCCCCCCCTTTGAAAGCCCCAACGTAACCCCGTCAGCATCCGAAACCCTTTCCGGATTTGAGGGTCTTATAAAGGAAGCTAAACCCTAACACAAAAGGGAATAAAGGGCCTACTCTGGGTCCAAGGAAGGTTTTGGGTTTGGGGTTTAGGGTTTAGGAGTTTACGGTTTAGGGTTTAGGGTTTAGGGTTTAGGGTTTTAAGGTTTAGGGTTTAGGGTCTAGGGCTTAGGATTTAGGAGTTTACTGCTTTAGGGGTTTAGGGGCTCCCCCCCAAAAGCCATGACTTCGAAGGTCCCCCTCGGTGCCTGTGCGGGTGCGTTGACCTCCTCCGTCTTGCCGGCAACATACTGCGTCTCGCCATCAACCTGCACACCACCAGGCCCTCGTTCTACACCTACCCTAACATACGTACGTACATACATACGTACAGGTATATATATATATATACTCCATACTACTTTATATGGTGTATGTCTATATACTATATGTATATAGCGAGAGAGGCTAACAATAGTGATTACAGCGGGTTTTAGGTAGTGTTTGGTGGTTTAGGGTTTAGGGTTTAGGTTTTAGGGTTTAGGGTTTAGGGTTTAGGGTTTAGGGTTTAGGGTTTAGGGTTTAGGGTTTAGGGTTTAGGGTTTAGGGTTTAGGGGTCAGGGCCTGGATCTGCTGGTACGCGGCCGGCCACTGCCTTAGAGATCTGCCCCACTTGCTGCCTTCATCCGGAAGTGCTACGCGGGGGTTTAGGGTTTAGGGTTTGGGGTTTAGGGTTTAGGGTTTAGGGTTTCCGAAATTAGGGGTACCTTATTGGGGTCCTTAGTATACCGGAATCCTAACATTTGGGGGTCTATATTGGGGGCTCCTTATTTTCGCAAACCTCCCACGTAACAATCAACTCTCGCATACCTTCAGGTGTTACGAGTGAACACTCGAAGGGACACAAAGTCAGAACCACGGTTCCAATGGTTCCAAAGCCCGCTTGATCAATGCAGACGCGCAGCGTGGTAGTGGCGCTGCTGTCATCCCTCATGGTCTGCGTTGGGACCTTCACCTGGCCGGGAATGCATTCTGAATGAAACGCTCTTTACAGCAGCGATCCTTGCACCTCTCGGTAGCCTTTGCGGCTCAATGTCACGGCCCGGTCTGAAAACAAAAGCACGGCTATTCTCGCACGAGACGAGACCAGCTAGGTTGCCTGGTACGTGTTGCCCATGATGGTCTGGCCGTCGCCTGGCATGGGCGCACCGCCAGGTCCAGGGCCAAACGTGGGCTGACCGTCGGGGCCCATGGGGGCGCCGTACATGGGTTGACCGTCAGGGCCGATGGGTGCGCCATACATGGGTTGACCGTCGGGGCCGATGGGGGCGCCATACATGGGCTGACCGTCAGGTCCGATGGGGGCGCCATACATGGGTTGACCGTCAGGCCCGATCGGTTGACCGTCGGGACCGACGGCCATGGGTTGACCGTCGGGGCCGACTGCGTACATGGGTTGACCGTCGGGGCCGATTGGGGCAGCGTACATGGGTTGACCATCGGGACCGACTGGCATGGGTTGACCATCGGGGCCGATGGCCATGGGAGCACCACCCGGACCAGTGGGAGCTGCATACATGGGCGCACCCATGGGGGCACCGTCAGGGCCGGTGGGAGCTGCATACACGGGTGCACCGTCGGTTCCGGCGGGCATGGGCGCACCACCCGGGCCGGTGGGAGCGGCATACATGGGCGCACCCATCGGGCCAGGGGCGGTGGTGCCAGGCGGCAACTGCGTCACGGGTGGCATAGTCGCGGGTGCAGTGCCCATGGGCCCGACAGTCTGCGGGGGGAACTGTCCCGTCACGGGCTCCATCAGCATCTGCTGTCCACCAGGCATCGTCGTCACCTGTGCTCGCTCTCTGTCCGTGCCAAACTCTTTGCAAAGCCTGAGGCACCAAGAGACCTACATGGGAACCTACATCCAGCTTGGGCCCCAGCAGTGTTCATTGCCGCCGCCATGTCCAAAAAGCCTCTTGAGGCTGAACCCCCACGTCACCGAAACTCTTCAGCTGCGTTGCTACACGCGGAAACAACTGTCCACCAAACCGGGGCCCGGACAGGGAGAGAGTCGAGTGCGAGACGATGCGAAAGCTATCAGAGATGATGAATCAAAACCCCTTGCAAATCCCACCTGTGAAATCGGCTATGAGGTGGCAATTGACAGGCCCGAGCGAGACGAAGAACCTCTGAGTCAAAATGGCTGTTGGCGAGCCACTTTCAGCACACATGCACTGAGGATCCTCTGCGCAGCAAAGTATATCCTGCAGCTAACTGGGAATTGGGTTTAAGCTCCAACATGAACAACCAGGTGAACAACATTGACAGCAACATTCACAACAACATGAAGAACAACATGAACAATACCATGAGCAACAACGCGAACAGCAACATGAACAACAACATTAACTATATGCCCAGCAAAGGCAAAGACCGCGTAACCATGTACTTCTGCGCCTGCCTAGCCCACACCCAAAAGCATTGGGGTTTAGGGTTTAGGGTTTAGGGTTTAGGGTTTAGGGTATAGTTTTCAGGCACAAAAAGTCATCTGGCCTGGTTTCAGTCACATCCGGCAACTTATTGCACCCACCGGCCTCGCCTCTGTTTTGAACCGTACTGAGAAGAATATAGGGTCGGCATAATTGTTAATACTATTCTCTTATGGCCCTTTTGTAATTATACTATAATAACCCCCAAAACCCTATTCTAATTGTCCAGGCCCCTATATTAATCGTTCAGACCTTTTCGAGAATCCCCCCCCCCACAAGTTTGCGGCTTGAAGTATGCTAACGCTCACAAAAGTTCAGACGTCTTTTCAACTTTGTGGCCTGTCCCTTGTATTGAAAAGGGTGCCAGTTCATAAAGATTGTCATCTGAATTGGGCCCTTCAACTAAAGGACGAAACGATGACTCGAAAGGACTTTGTGATCGCTCAGAATAGTTCAGGTGGGCCTTTCCAGAAAAGTTCAGGCGGCAGGCTCGGCCCAGAACGAGAACATCTTGAACTGAATGCGGCCTTTCTCTTTGATCTGCAAGGAGGGCAAGTCACCCTAAACCCTAAACTCTAAACCCTAAACCCTAAACCCTAATAGCTCACGTGGCATGTGCCGCCCGGTTCAGAAAGCTTATGAACTGCGTGCGTTTTCCCCATTAGACGTAAGAGGAGGTCAGCTCAGAAAAGTTGACGTGGCAAGTTCTAGCCCCAAACCCTCGAAAAAAAACACTAAAAGCTAGGCCCAGGCTTGGGCGGGGGAGAAGACAAACAAAGACTCCCTTCAAAACCCGTACTATCGATTCCATTGGTCCCGTATATGGGGGATTTCCGAAAATGGGGGTACCGTTTTTGGGGGGTCCCTTCAAGGGCATTCTGCTCTATTTGGGGTAGGAAAGGGGTTCCCATTCCAGGGAGAAATACGAATGCATCGAACCAGCAACGCCAAGAGTCACTTCCAAGACAGGTCCGCTTCTTTTGTCGCGCGGGTGAGCCAGCTCGGCTTGTGTATTTCGAGCTGGCAAGCCCAGGCAAATCTGTGAGGCAAAGCGTGGGCGAGGAACTCAACATGAGCTCTCCTCCCCGCAAATCGGAAAAGGAGGCAATACCTAACCCTAAACCCTAAACCCTAAACCCTAAACCGGATACGGCCTTGCTTGCCAGCACCATGTGCAGCTTCATCCATCTTCATCCCTATCGGAAAGCTGAGCCTGGCTACTGCAGCGGCCTAAATAATTGGGTTGGGGTGTTTTGGGGGGGGGGGGGGGGGGGGGGTTCTTGTAGTATAATATAACGGACCATAAGGGAATACTACTATCAACGATTTCGACCCCTATACGAAGCATGAATATGTTGCAGCATGGTTTCTGTGGATCCTTCCTCGACCAAGCCGCAAGTAGCAACTGAGTGAACTGTTGAATGTCCTGCTCTTCTTTGGGCGAGCGAATGGAAAACAACAAAACCCGCGCCTCGATGGGGTGAGGTACGCCTGCCCCTTCTCAGAAGATACTCTTACTCTTACTCTTACTCTGACTCTTACTCTTACTCTTACTCTTACTCTTACTCTTACTCTTACTCTCACGCTTACTCTTACGCTTACTATTACTATTACTATTACGATTACTATCACTATCACTATCACTATCACTATACGTACTACTACTACTACGACGACGACTACTACTATTACTATTACTATTACTATTACTATTACTATTACTATTACTATTACTATTACTATTACTATTACTATTACTATTACTATTACTATTACTATTACTATTACTATTACTATTACTATTACTATTCCTATTACTATTCCTATTACTATTCCTATTACTATTACTATTACTATTACTATTACTATTACTATTACTATTACTATTACTATTACTATATCTATTACTATTACTATTACTATTACTATTACTATTACTATTACTATTACTATTACTATTACTATTACTATACATATTTACATGTATATCCCTAAACCCTAAAGCCAACCCATAGATCTATCGGTTGCTTTAGGTACACAGCAAGGGGCTGACGGTCAAAACCCCCAGAGCCGGACGCGGGGCCCTCCCCACGAAACAGGACCTCCAACTGGGGGGCCCTTCAGAACCCGCACTTCTGAGTGGCAAGATATGTTTCCAGGTTGGCCCTTAAAACCCTCTGAAAAATATTCGTTTAGGGTTTAGGGTTTAGGGTTTAGGGTTTAGGGTTTAGGGTTTAGGGTTTAGGGTTTAGGGTTTAGGGTTTAGGGTTTAGGGTTTAGGGTTTAGGGGTTAGGGTTTAGGGGTTAGGGCTTCGGGCTTCGGGCTTAGGGCTTAGGGTTTAGGGCTTAGGGCTTCGGGTTTAGGGCTTAGGGCTTAGGGTTTAGGATAGGATTAGAGGGACCCTTGGGGATGTAGACGCTGTGAATAAGGTCCCTGTTGAAGAGAGACAGAAGACGGTTTAAGAAGGGTTCCCTTAAGGGTCTCCCTTACCCTACCTAGGCTGAAGAGGATGCTCTTGAACCCCACTACTACTAGTTGCTTAAGAACCCCCAAAAAATGTAAAAAATAGTGATCCCTATAATTATTGCCCTTACAAGGAAGCATTTTTTTGTTTTTGGGGGGGTTCTGGTAGACTAGGGGAAAGTATAGAACATCCCAAGGGCCGACCTGGTAGTGTTACGCTTTCCCATCTGGGAAAGGAGGTCAAGAAGACAGGCATGACCTGGCCCTACATCATCCAACTCTAGCATTCAAACCCCACATTGAATAAAAAAGGTCTAAATTAAAAGAAACCTTTGAAACCCTAAGACCCTAAACCCTAAACTCCAGGTCGAACGCATGATTTCGCTGCGCATTCCCCCTCTTAAATCGAGTGCTGCGTCGAAGCCGCCGAGGCCCCTTCCGGGCCACTACCAACCTTTTCGACGCGGGCGCACTCTGCAAAATTTAAAAGCCGTCCCCTCGCAGGATAGGATGGTCCAGCCTGGTGTCAAGCGCGTTTTGGGGCATGGGGTTTGGGGTTTAGGTTTTGAGACTCAGGGTTTGGGGTGAGGGGGTTTTGGGGTTTGGGGTTTAGGGTTTAGGGTTGTGGGACGCAGGGTTTAGGGTGAAGGGTTCTTTGGGGTTTGGTTTGGGGCTTGGGGCATAGTATCTTTTTGGCAAGCACGATACAGAACCCTGAAGGATGGAACGTGTCTCGCAGGAAGGTCGAGCATGCTCACAAGTCCGCCGGCGAGCAGGGATTTGGAGGTTTAGGGCTTCAGGTTTAGGAGTTTCAGAGTTTAGGAGTTTTGGAGTTTTGGCGCTTTGGAGTCTTGGAGTTTTTGGGGGTGCTTCAGGTGATGAAGCAGGGTGTATATATCTTGAGAGCCGATCAGGCCCCCAGCACCCAACTCTAAACCTTTCGATCAACCTCCCAGCTTACTGTCATATTGGGTATAAGTAGGTATTCCATATTGGGAAGAACTTGGTATTCATATTGGGTATTCTTAGGTATAAGTATTGGGTATAACTAGGTATTCAGGATCACCGTTTTTGTGAGAGAAGGGAACGAGGGCCCACTGGGAGTTCCAGCTTAAGCAACCCGTGCTTTCAGTGTCTAAGGAGAAGTCCTCAGTTTTGGGCCCTGCATTGTTTGGGTCCGGGTCCTTTGCGGATTAAGGGCTGAACAAACGAAAGAGTAGGAAGCGTAAGATTTTCAGGGTTGAGTGAGCGCGGTACATGAATCTGGCCGGGCCAAGCCGTGGTAGCTAGCACACTGGTAGCACACAGCCCAAGTTGGGCAACAAGACCCAGAAGAGGGTTAAAAAACCCCGAAACCCCAAACCCCCGCCCACCCCAAGCCTTCCCCCTGTCGGCCCCCACACAAGATGTTCAGGCCTCATGCTCTCCACACAGGGGTGTCGCTTCGGTGTAGCAGTTTCGAAAGGGTTTCGGGTTGTTTTAAGGTCTGGGGCAACTGCTGGTGGCTTAGGGGAAGTGTGTAGCCGAGGGTCTTGTTGGCGCAGGGTCAATTTGGGGAAAATCACTTTGCAGTTTGGGGAGGGTGCTCTTGACATTTTGGGTATTGTCCTTAACCCCCCTTTGCACATTCTCTAGATATACAAACCCCACTTGAGGGCTTAGGGCTTCGAGGGCCTCCATAGAGCAGCTATCACAAAGAGCACACGGACCACGACATCACCCGGACCACCACGACCACTGCCCACCACCACCAGTAACACCACCGCATCGCCACCACCTCCCCCAAACCCTAAACCCTAAACCCTAAACCCTGAACCC